ATAGTAAACACCTCAGTTTTATCTACCAGAAGATACACCCAAACTGCTCTAGAAAACTCATCAACAATGGTCAAAAACCTTTTAGCACCACAAGAAGCAGGCGTGTTATATGGTCCCCACAGATCGCAATGTATAAGCTCAAATTTATGTGTAGAATTATTGATACTATGGGGAAATGAATCTCTAGCCTGTTTAGCTTGAAAACAAATGTCACAAGGTTGGGAAATAACCTGTTTGGACCCACTCACACCAGGTAACCATGACATTATTGTGTCTGACGGATGTCCCAATCGTCGATGCCACATGTCCAAATTTTCTGTCTCTTTATGCACTCCAAAAATATAAGTCTCAGGGATGCGCCGAAAATAGTAAAGTCCATTCCGCCTTTCACCCGCCCCAATCAGCTTCCTCGAGTGCTGGTCCTGTATAGCACAAAGGTCAGATGTGAATTGAACAAAACAATTATTTTCCTTAGTAATTTGGGAGACTGAAATGAGGCTACAGTGCAATTTTGGAACAAATAACACATTAGTCAAACAGAAATTATCAGATAAATGAACTGATCCCTGTTTAGTAGCCTTCACTTTCTGTCCATCAGGAAGCCCAACAGAACACGGACTAATTTCTGTGACATTACTCAAAGAAGAGATATTTCCTGTCACGTGATTCGAGGCTCCTGTATCTATAATCCACGATAGAATATCAAACTTCCCCGATGTACTATCGGAATGAGGAGTATTTGTTTTACCAAAAACTTTTAATAGAGCCTTCCACTGCTCAGATGAGAAGCCAGGCAGTATTTGATTTTCCCCAAATTTAGCCGCATAGCCAGAGCCATTGAAGTGCAATCGACTTCCCTCAATCAACGCCGCTGCGTGAGTATCTCCAAACTCATTCGCGTCGCCAGAGCCAGTGAAGCGTCCAGACGATCTGTTTTCCTCAATCACCGCTGCGTGAGCTCGAAAGCTGCCAGAATGACGCTCGCTCGCCGCACCTCCAGCACCTCCGTCGCCTGTGGAATCTCTGCCGCGTCTGCCGCCCTTCTGGCCAGTCCGAGGTCCGTCTCTCCACCATTTTGTATTGCCCACGATTTCGAAAGAATTGGCGGCGGCGTGTCTGGGAATATTTGAGTGAGTGCACATAACTCCAGGTTTAATTTGGTTTCTTCCATCCGTTTGAACAGGGTATCCCAGTACATCGGTTCTTTCCTCTCGTTTTAGAGTCATCCCACACACTTGCTGAAAAGCCCTCTCCAGAGAGGGAAAAGAAGTATGAGCGAGAAGTTCTGCCCTGGTTTGGCCGAATAGTTCTGTGTCTTCTCCGTCCATGAAGACAATTTCCGGCACCGCTACGACGGTGGCTCTGATACCATGTTAATAAATTAATAAAGGAGTGAATATAACATTGATATTATTCTTGGTCATGCCAGTTGATTACAACTGTATCATATATATATATATATATATATATATATATATATATATATATATATATATATATATATGCTCTTGTGCTTCTCCCTATACAAGCTAAATAAGGAAGCATAAATATTACACATGATTTTCTCTATCAGTATTAATGCTAGAATATTGACTATCTATATATAATTCTTCCCATAATAAAAGAGGTATAATCTAAAGTAGAACAACAAATAGTTACTTATACAATCACAACAGAAGAGTAAAAGAACAAGCAAGGGTTTAGGAATAGAAGAGTCTTATGTAGCCGAATATTCTCAAAACAGAAGAGTCGTTTATGCCAGGATAATTTGTGAGTAAGAGAGCACTCACAAAGCAACATGGGATTAGACTTGAAAGCCGTTAACAAACTATAGCAACTCAATAATTTCTACCATTTACCAAAAGGTAAAAAGTCAAGAATGCCGGAGGAGGCACATAGACACGTGCATTTAATTCCTTCTATAAACATTTTGTCTACTGATTGGGAAAGTAATATAATTGAAAAGTAGAAATTAAATGAAGAAAAATCTAAAAATATCTATTAATTCATCAAATGGGCAATGTATAGTATAACAAAACTTTGGAAAAAGAAGATCAGCAAGCTCAATCAACTGAATGAGAAGAGGAAGATTCAATTAGATTATCAAACCGTCAGTGTTTATTCACCAGTTGGCTGTTTAAATAATAGAGTACAAGAGTCCTAACTAGTATACAATCGCATATGTACGTAAATAAAGGTGGAGCAATACCAGACTAACAACTTGAGTCTATCGGTTTGCTCCCTAGTGCGGAAGGGATAAACTCTATCTAAAATGTGTACAATAAATTAACAATACAATTAATATTAGTAACAGATAATGATTGAGATGATAACGATTGCATGGTATGGCCACGCATATGCATGCATACGTTAAGACGCCCCCGCAGTCACAGCCGGAGGAGGACGAATGCTGAGACTGGACCGGAAATCATCGAATAAAACTCTAGGCAATCCTTTGGTGAAAATATCGGCGAACTGATGACGAGAGGGGACGTGTAATACGCGCACTTCTCCACGGGCGACTTTTTCTCGAACAAAGTGAATGTCAAGCTCAATATGTTTAGTCCGTTGATGGTGAACAGGATTGCCAGACATGTAGATGGTACTGATGTTATCACAATAGACAATAGAAGCTTTGTTCAATGGTGAGTGGAGTTCAAGAAGAAGGTTGCGGAGCCAGCAAGTTTCAGCCACAACATTGGCAACGCCGCTGTACTCAGCCTCGGCACTAGAACGGGAAACAGTGGGTTGGCGTTTGGAAGACCAAGAAAGGAGATTATCACCCAAGAAAACACAATAGCCAGAAGTAGAGCGGCGAGTATCCGGACACCCGCCCCAATCGGCGTCAGAGTAGGCGACAAGAGAGGAGGTAGGTGAAGCCCGTAGATAAAGGCCAAAGTGAGAAGTGCCGCTGATGTAACGGATGATCCGTTTGAGGGCATTATAGTGCGGAAGACGGGGATCATGCATGAAGAGGCAGATTTGTTGGACGGCGTAGGAGATGTCCGGGCGGGTGAAAGTAAGGTATTGTAGAGCCCCTGCTAGACGACGGTAGAGAGAAGGATCAGGTACTGGAGGACCAACCGTGGCACTAAGTTTGGACTGTGTATCCACAGGCGTAGCAACTGGGTTGCACGAACTCATGCCAGCTCGGGACACAATGTCTTGTGCGTACTTCTGTTGGGAAAGGAAGAGGCCGCCAGATTGGGGAGTGACCGAGATTCCAAGGAAAAATGTGAGGGGCCCAAGGTCGGTCATAGAGAATTCTGCGTGAAGACTGAAGATGATGGAGCGGCGGAGGCGGTCAGAAGAGGCGGTGAGGATAATATCGTCTACGTACAAAAGGAGATAAGCCGTGTCCTCACCATGATGCAGAATAAAAAGTGAGTGGTCACACTTACTGTGATGAAAACCAAGAGTAGCAACATAAGTGGTGAACCTGTGGTACCATGCACGTGGGGCCTGCTTTAGGCCGTACAAAGACTTGAGAAGACGACAAACATAATCAGGATGAGTAGAATCACGAAAACCGGGTGGTTGGTACATAAAAACGGTTTCCTCCAAGTGGCCATGCAGAAATGCGTTTTTGACGTCCAATTGATGTAGGGGCCATGCATGGGATAGAGCTAGGCTGAGCACTGTGCGAATGGTAGCGGGTTTGACCACGGGGCTAAAAGTCTCATCACAATCAACCCCGACTTGTTGAGAGTTTCCGTTGACAACAAGTCTCGCTTTATGTCGTTCCAAGGTCCCATCAGATCTGTATTTATGTTTAAAAAGCCACATACATCGAACAATATTCACGTTAGCGGGCCGGGGAACCAACTCCCACGTCCTATTTTTAATAAGAGCACTATACTCATCACACATAGCATTTTTCCAGTTTGAGTCACGAAGAGCGTCAAGAGGTGTGCGTGGGAGGGGTGACGGATTATTGGAGGTGGTAGTGGCAGAAAGGTTGACGTGGGTTTTGGGTTTGAAAATCCCAGCACGTGCCCGGGTGACCATGGGATGGCGGGTATGGGCAGGGGGGTTTATGGCTAGTGGGGACGGTGTGCTTGGGATTTGGTTGCCAGATGGCGGTGAAGTATAAGAAGTGTGATGAGGCGGAGTAGGAGGTGTACTGGGTGGGGGGGAAGGTGTGGAACGATGCATGGGAGTTTGGGGCCATGCAAACAGGTGTGGCATTTGGGTAGATAAATGAGGTGGTTGGTCAAGAAAGGTGTATTGGGAGGGGGGTGTCGGCTGGGGAGTTTGAAAAGGCAGTACATTTTCATTAAATGTTACATGCCGGGATATTATTATTTGGTTAGTGGATAAATTAAGGCATTTAAATCCCTTGTGATTAGTTGGGTATCCCAAGAAGGCACATGGGGTGGAACGGGCCTGGAGCTTATGAAAGGTAGAGGAGGGGAGATGAGGGAAACATAGACATCCAAAGACCCGGAGGTGTGTGTAGGTAGGGCGTTGGAAATATAGTTTTTCCGTGGGAGAGGTGGATGAGCTAGACAAGGATGGTAGAATATTATAAAGATAGGTTGCCATTTGTACGGCGTGAGGCCATAGCATGGGTGGCAGGGAGGCGTGTAAAAGAAGAGTACGAGACATATTGTTAATTGTCCGTATAGTACGTTCGGCTTTGCCATTTTGAGGTGACGTATAAGGACAAGAGAATCGAAAATGAAGTCCATGGGAGTCCCCAAATTGGCGGAAGGAAGAATTAATATATTCAGTGCCGTTATCACATTGTAGTACCTTAATACTACGCTCAAACTGAGTCCGTATATAATTATAAAATTTAACAAATACGGAAAACGTTTGAGATTTAGATTGGAGAGGAAAAATCCATAAATAACGAGTAAAGTCATCTAGGAAAAGAACATAATACCGGTGACCGGTGGAACTTAAAACAGGTGAAGTCCATAAGTCACTATGTATTAAATCAAACGGATGTAAAGTAACAGACTGAGAAGACTGAAATGGTAATTTGGTATGCTTGCCCATTTGACATGAAGTACAAGAATGGGAAAACAATTTATTACATTGAATAGCATTATTTGTTCTAAGTAATCTAAAAACTGGATCCCCGGGATGACCAAGCCGACCATGCCATATTTCACCAGAAGTGTGAAACAAAGCCGACGAGGGATAGGATAATGGCCCGGAGGACTTTGAAACTGGGTAGAGTTGACCGGAACTATTACACCTCAGAAGTGGCGCCCCCGTGTGGAGATCCTTCACAGAAAAACCATACGGGTCAAATTCAACAGTTACATTATTGTCAGATGTAAATTGACGAACAGAGATAAGATTTTTAACAAGTTTGGGGGCATGGAGGACATTAGATAAATGTAAAGGAAGATTAGAAGTGGGGATATGGGTAGAGCCGTGACCCAAAATGGGAACGGTTTGACCGTTACCTACTAAAATATGAGAATCAGTGCGCGTATTAAAGTAAGGAGTGAGAATACCCGACGATGATGTCATATGCGACGTGGCCCCGGTGTCCATGTACCAGTTGTCGTCCGGTGGGGAGAGAGACATAGTATGCATGGCGGCTTGAATGTCGGTAGGAGTAGCCGCATAAGCCTGAGCGGGACGAGGACCAAGAATACCTGCCGATGCCCGAGGTACCGGTGGACCTCCCCAGGGTGTTGTGGGTACCGGGCAAGGAGGGATTGCCCACTGAGGTGGCGGCCAGTAAGCCCACGGGGGACAAGACCACTGCAGCGGACGGGGCATAGCCGGAGTAGAAGCGGATACATCACTGCGTGGTGTTTGACGGGTACGACCACCCCGAGAGGAGCCACCACGACCGCGGGATCGAGAATTCCTGCCATCCGAGCGAGAATGTGTTGGGGGTTCACTGGGACGCGGCGGACCCGGCGGTGGCGGCGGCGGCGCATTGTGCAACATAGCAGTTTCCTGGGACTGTCCGTGTTGTTGTTTCTTCCGTGCTTCTTCAAGTGTCAGCATGGACCGAGCCTTAGAAAATAAAGGTAAGGGATCCGCTTGCTGAATAAGAGAAGCAACCACATCATATGGCTCGGTCAGGCCATTGACTAAGCGGAGAACAAGACGCTTATTGTCAACGGGGGAATCGACATTGGCCAATTGATCGGAAAGAAGCTTCAACGCCTTGCAATAGGAAGAGATATTAGAGAATTGTTCAAGACGAATGTTGGAGAACTGATTCTCCAAATACACGGCTCGGGATTGTTTATTGTCTTGAAAAATGTCCTCCAGATGCTCCCATGCCAATTGAGCCGTGGAGTTTGGCTCAATAATGGTATGGAGCAAATCAGTGGTAATAGTACCATAGATCCATTGTAAGACAACAGCATCCAGACGAGTCCAAAGAGCTTTAGCCTCGGCGGCGGCGGCCGCCCGTTCCATTTGCTGCTCAGGTGTGAGAGAAGAAGAAGATGCACTGGTGGAGGATGTTGACGTGGCAGGCGTAGGGATGATGTGATCAAGGACCTCATAAGCTCGAGCTGTAATTTTGAACAGCTCGGCCCAGGAGGAGTACTCGACGGTTTCGATATCAAGAGTAATCGGGATGAAATTTCGGATGTTGGAGACGGCCAGGGCTGGGTGAAATTTGGCCGGAGAAGGGGAAGTCATGATGGAGAGGAAAAGAACGAAGCGTCTGATACCAAATTAGATTATCAAACCGTCAGTGTTTATTCACCAGTTGGCTGTTTAAATAATAGAGTACAAGAGTCCTAACTAGTATACAATCGCATATGTACGTAAATAAAGGTGGAGCAATACCAGACTAACAACTTGAGTCTATCGGTTTGCTCCCTAGTGCGGAAGGGATAAACTCTATCTAAAATGTGTACAATAAATTAACAATACAATTAATATTAGTAACAGATAATGATTGAGATGATAACGATTGCATGGTATGGCCACGCATATGCATGCATACGTTAAGAGATTCAAAGGGCCTTCCTACACAAAAATAATAAGTCATATGCGGACTATAAATACAGAGTATTTTTTTGGAGAAAGGTATGCACTTTAAGAACAAGAAGATCTTACGAAGACATATGTAACAAAGAAGAAAGTGCTAATTAATCACTTCTCATCTTATCTTACTAAACACTTTTTTAAACTCCTAAATACTCGAATGTAATATCTTTAGAACTTATTTAGTTGAATACATAGTATCAACTCTTGATGTAAATACATGGACAACTAGTGGCGGAGCCAGAAATCTATGGTTGAAGGGGCCGGTCTTTATCCCAACTATTATCGATCCGCTGATAATAATCCCAACTATAGATTATTTTTGTATAATCCCAACTATATGGACCATCCGCCAATAATGGTCCATGACCAGATATTACCTCCTATAAAAATTGAATTTAAATAGAAATTAAGTATAAAAATTAAAAGTTGAGATTATTTATAGGGATTACTTGTTATATCTCTCCTCATCCACTTTAAAAACTACAGGAATTTATTTATAGGGACCATTATTGGCGGAAGGTCCCTAAAGTTAGGATTATTCTAAAATAATCGATAGTTGGGATTATTATAAGCGGACCGCCCATAATTGAGATTATTACAATCAATTTTTCCTAAAAATTTTACATTGCAGGGGCTAAAGTTTAAAATATCAACATATTTTCTATAGATTAAAAGTATTTATACATAATATATACTTAAGAATTTTTTTCTTGCAGGGGCCGTGGCCCCCTCCAGCCCCTCCCTGTCTCCACCCCTGTGGACAACTCAAGAGGGTGTTGTGATCAAATCTTAAGTGAAGAAGAAGGATAGAGTTGCACAAGCAGTTACTTGTAATGAAAACCCTTAGAATTGAGTAACCTGAGGTGGCGTTTATACTCCTCGTGAAAACCTTCTAGTTTATGCCAAACCTTCGGCTATGTTTGGTATGATGTAATACAATGCAATGTAGTGAAGTGCGTAATGCAATACAAAATGTAATATAATGGAATAGAGTTTCGATTCCATTACTATGTTTGGTTACTTAAGTAACAACTTTGAATTGTAATCAACATTACATAATTTATGTTTGTTTATCTACATGTACAATTAGAACTGTGTGTGTGCGCTGCCCGGCCCGGCACAAACCCGGGCCGATACCGGGCCCGCAACCCAAACTTTTAGTCCCGCCCAATCCCGGCCCGGCCCGGTACAAACCCGGGCCGGTACTGGGCTCGCAACCCAAACTTTTAGTCCTGCCCAATCCCGTCCTGGAGCCCGGCCCGACCAGGGCCCGGTCCGCCTCTACGTGGTATAAGTTGTAATCTCAAATACACATCTTCGTTAATGTAATATTTATTACACATATCAAAGTAATGAGTTCCACAAGTGTAATGACCATTACATTACGTTTTAAAATAAAATGGCATACCAAACATCGTAATCAAATCAACATGTAATGCTCATTACATTACATGGTTGATTAAGTCATATCAAACATGACTGAAGTGTAATGGTGAATAAGTCAGTGGAAGCCCTCTTGAAATAGGGAGGCATGTGTAGAAAAATAGCTAAAAGTGAGATATACTTATAAACCGTGAACTATACTTAAACAACACTCACTTGTTAACCGAATCAAAGTGTATATTTTCTGCTAGTTTTCCGAATCAAAGCTAAACATCTCTGAAGTCTTCATAAAACCTAAAGACATTGTATGTATTGAACAATCTTTGTTCAGTAGTCATGCATCTTTAACTAATGTTAGAAGAGTGTCTTTATAGAACATGACTCTCCCGTTGAGTATCGAGACTCTCACATCTCATGAACATGACTCTCCTGTGCAAAAACAAGTCTTTTATATGAAAATAGGAATCTCCTGTTTTCTTATACGGAGTAGTTTCTTTCTTACCTCAGGACATTTTCCTCCAGACCTGAAAATCTAGAGGTTTTCGTACATGAGATTGTTAATGGAACAAGTTGGCCACATGAGGCTTCCGTTCTTTTGGACTTAAATACTTCCATAAAATAACCACATGTATCTTTCCCTTATAAATTACTTGTATCATTCTTCAAAGGGTAAGACACAATATTCTAAAAGGCACTAGACACTACTTGGGTACAAGCCCAATGTCTAGGCGAGGTCTAGCTAAGGACATAAATGTGATAAATTTATCAATTTGTTTTCTAAATATTGATAAGTAATACTGTATTAGTGAGTGTGTATGTATACACATTAAATGATAAAGTCGTCACATTTAATACATGAGTTTTTTACATAAATATTACCAATATTATTTGGGGTTACAAAAAAGTGACCAATGATAGGGAACACGTTTTGCATCATGAGAGTAAGGTTGGGCAAGAATGCGTAATTAAATTACGGAACACGTTTTACATTAATATTTTTGTTAGTAAAGTTTAAAGTGGTTATATTTGTGTAATTTTTTCTTAATACATACTAATTAATAATAAAATTTAAGAATGCGTACAAACATATACAAACACAATTATGTGCAATCAAATTTATATTGCACATAATTGTATTAATTACGGCATAATCTCAATAAATATTATTGATAGCAAAAATTTAGTGTTGTAATAGACACTAAGAGTATTTTTACTTGTACTTATTTCAGTTTCAGACCAAACTAGATCATACTAGACTAGACCAGAGACTTAACATACCAAACTAGACCTAAACAATTATAAAATATACAGAGATTATTATCTATCAGATCAGACCGACCATAAAATATCAATTCAAATAAATACATTCTCTGTTCTTTTAATAACAAAACTGGCAGTGCATCATTCTCAATTGTCAATTGTCACCCTACAAGCCACATGCATGTAGAGTATAGACAAAGTCATTTGATTTTTGGCTGAATTCTAGATGCATTAAATTAAAACGGTTCTTTAATTTGATTATCACCTATCCCAATTAGTAGAACATTACACTGAATGGAAGCAATTTGAAAATTTTATGTTTAATGAAATTAAAAAAATTCTTAGCACAATAAGAGAATACAATTTTAAAAAAATATAATCTACTTTATACCACCAATCAGTGACAACTATATATAATTTATACTTTATCATTACCAAAAAACAAGTTGTCATACTCTGGACGGTCTTAGAACAACTCCAATGCTACGATGTGCCACATGTAGACGGCCTTATTGACATTGTGGAGAAAAACATATCAAAATTGTATAAAATCATTCAAATAAGGAGATAAATAATTTATTTGTTAATATTCATGTGGCTATCTCTCATGTCACATGTGCATCATGCATATTGTAGCATTGGAGATGCCCTTAATTTATTGAGTATGTTAATATGTTCACTAATGAGGATGTGGATGATTTGGTTAAGCATTAATTTTAGAACGGTAGGTGAGTAGGTCCTATCATTATGTAGAGGATGTAACCAAGTCATTACTCATTAACTTGTTTATTTTGGGGCATGTCAAAAACTTAAGATTCTCTATAAACTATTATTTGGTCTCATCAAATGTCTGGGGCCCGCTATTTTTATCAACGTAAAATCTTTTTAATTTTTTATTTTATATATTCAACTTTTATCAAATTTGAATTTTTATTTTGTGTACTTATAAAACTTTTAATGTAGTTTCTGAATTCAAAATTTTCTTTTCCAAAAAATGAACTAATTACATAGATTAGTTAACTTTATAATCACTCAAACATCTCAAACATTTTTTACGAGAGAGAGCGAGTGTCTTTAGAGTGTTTAGTACGTAGTACTCCATATATTATTACAAGTTTGAAATGTTGTCTAACATTGATCTCGATATCAGATTCTATTTACCTTTTTTGTCTTCTTTGTAGTTTGTACTTTGCAAAAGTAACCAACTTTCTAACTTTCTTTATTCACGGAGCAGATGAGATAAAGCTCACTGCCAAATAGGGCTGGGTCTGAAAAACCGAAAACCGAAAACTGAATCAAATTAAATCGAATCGCAACCAAATAAAACCGAACCGCTAAGAAACCGAAACCGAATGTAAAAAACCAAACCGAACCGAAGTTGTTCGATTCGGTTTTGGTTTTTATCCTTCAAAACCGAACCGAACCGAACAAACCGAACTTTTTAAAATATGAAATTTATATGTTAATTGTTAAGCATTAATTCTCATCATTAGTCTTTGGTTTTCTTGTGTTAGAGAAATAATGTTTGTGTTATGTTTAATTTAATTTAGTTTATAAATTCATTTACTGTCTGTAATAATAGATATATTGAATGATGATCATATGTGTTTACTAGTTATTACTTATTAGTAGTAATTAACTTTTATTTTTAGCTAACTTAAAGATTTTATATTGATAAAACAATAAATATTAATCTCAACTATATCACATAGAACATATATATTCATGAAAAAATTTGAAACTACTCACAAACAAATTAAATCAATAATATATACAGTTTTATCTATCTCGCATACTCATATAATTCAAGACATATTTATCTCTTCTCATTTTTATTTTATTTGTCATTATATTGTGCTTAAATTCTGCATGTAATATGTTTGATCCCTCTAAGTATTATATCAATTTAAAATCAAGTGAAAAAATTTTGGTAAAAAGACTGAAAAAACCGAAACCGAACCGAAACAAACCGAACCAATCAAACCGTGGTTCCAAGTTTTGGAGTGTAAAACCGAACCGAAACCGAACCGAATTTTTTACTTTGATTCTACATTTAGTTTTAGGTCAAAACCGAACCGCAAGAACCGAACCCACCCTACTGCCAAACGCCAAAATTTTCCCAACAAATTCCCTTCCTTCTTCCTCTTTGCAACTTCATATATAGATCAGCATCTGGTCAATCTTTATCACCATACTAAACAAAAAAAATACATTTCCCTATTTTCATATTCCAAGAACTATATCTTTCAAAAAAAAATCTAAGAACTACAAAAGATCCGATTTTTCATTTTTTCAAGAACTTCCGGTGAACTTTCTGACGGTTCTTGGAAATGGATTTCTATGGCTACCAGGGCGTCGGCGAGTCCCACTACCCTTCTTTCTATGGCTACAACCCTTCCACACCGTACGATCATAACCCGATTTCATACCCTTCCCCGAATTTGGTAGAAAACAGCCCGAATTATTATAGCAGTAATTATTATCACGATTATGATCCGCAGCCACAAGTGAATTACTCTGTTCAAAATTCCAGTAATTCAAAGCTGATCCAGTGGGATGGTCCAGAAGATGAAGAGGACACTGATTTTGATGAGTATGATCCAGACCCGTATAGCGGTGGCTATGATATTTCCCAAACCTATGGAAAACCCCTTCCGGCGTCAGATCGTATCTGTTACCCTCGCTCCGCCGCTTCTTTACCGGAGAATGAAATCGGAAAAGTGGTTTCTGCGGACAGGGGCGAAGTCGCAATTGACTTTGGAAGATCGGATGATGTAAACAAGGGTATTACTGGAAATACATCAGAATATCAAGTGGCAAATGGTCAGTACTATGGATCTGGTTTGGAGAGTGTGGATGTATGTGAGGGAATGTTTGGGTATTGGCCTTGTTGGGAGAAATACCAGAGGAACAATGGGAAAGGGAACAATTATGGAGGAGGAGGAGAGAGTGATCAAGGAATTAGCAGTCCACGGAGTTATTGTGCAGCAGCAGATTATCTGTTTGGCAGTGCCTATGGATATGGTGGTGGAGATGAGGCGAGAGGACAAGGATTTGGGGGTTTCAGTTATGGAGGTTATTATCAAGAATAACATGCATTTTTTTGCAAGATCATTCTAAACATTTTATAATATCTGTTCATATAACATTATGTAGACCATGTATAGTTACATGTATAGTTGGATAGACAATCTTTCATGTCTAGTTGGCTTGACGGGAACTGCCTTCCGACCGAGGGCTATTCGGACACTTCTCAGTGGAATTTTTTTTTTAAAATATTTTGAGCATGATCTTCATCAAATCTAGTTTACCGATACCAAATTTCAGCTCAAAATTTATGAATTGGGAAGGCAGTTAAATGATTTTTTGAAAAGTACTGCGCTGTTTTTATATATTAACTGAGCAGTGTTCTTAAATAATTTATTTAACCACCTTCCCGATAGAATTTTTAGCTTAAATTTGATATGGGTAAACTAGACTTGATGGAGAAATACCTAGGGTAAACTAGCTTAAATTTAGTATGGGTAAACTATACTGGATGTAGAAATTTGGTATCTCAAAAATTTTTATTAAAATATTTCCCAGGAAGTGCCTGAAATACTCTCGGCCGGACGGCGATTCCCGTCAGGCTGGCTGGACAGGAAGACTACTCTAGTTGGATATATATACGTAGTATGAAATACATAATAATGTGAATCTGAATGAATTTGAATAAAAACAAATGTTAAGAATATGTTAACAATCGCCCATTCGGGGACATTCGATAAAATTGAAACGATACAGAGATGATCAGCATGACCCCGCGTAAGGATGACATGAAGAATATGTTAAGAGTCGTTTTCAACTTTTTACTTCATGAACTGGTAAGAGATGTTTATTTATTTAGAGGTGATTCACAAATGTATCTTTACTACACCGAACCTAGCATTTTCAGGATTTTCATTAATATAGTGCAAACATGGAAGACAAAATTCAAACAACAATTACAGATCCGATCGTTAGCTCTAGGAATAGACTTAGAGTCAGTCACTCATACAAAGCAACCTGACTCGCTAGACACAAAATTGGCAAGAAAAAGTCTAAAACGACCGAAAATGAAGCACCGCCTATCAAAAGTTGATAAAAAAAATCAACCATACATACTCGAACTGAAATAAAACTAAGTATTACAAATGGAAACGATATATGAAAATAAAAACTTTCACCAAATTGCTTCCTCGCACGGAGGTGGTTCCGGAGGAGGGCGGGCTATGATAGTATGGTAGAAGAGAATTTCAATCCCGGAAATAATAAGAGAAATTGCCCCATATAGGAGTAAAAGTAGTATGAAATTCTTAAATAGGAGTATAAAATTAAACGTTGTTCAATGAAGCGTTTCCATTCAGTCGACGGCACAATACCCCTCTGTGACTGAACTGTCTCTGCAGTCTGCAAGAGGATAAATTTACAAACTTACCGAGTTTGCTAATTAAGATCATCTCCCCAGATAAGAAATACAGAGTAGTATATTGGATAACGGCTGCTATTAAAGGGCTTGGACTTGCTGGGAAAATATTATTCATCCATTCTCTCTTGGAATTGCCGCAGTTTGCATTTTCTTTTCTTGAGTTTAATTTATTAAAATATTCATATACTATCGTATTACTCCGTATATATTAACACCCTACGTATTTATCAAATCAAAATATAACATATATTCCAGTGTTCCTTTCAAAAAAAATCCATGTTATAAAAATATTTTGAAAAAAGTGTCAAATCAACATACTTTGTACGGATAGCCAATTATACCCCTGCACTTTAAGTTTCATCAATTAAGTCTACTTTGGAATTTTTGTCAAAACCGATTTTAGCAGGTAACCCGTCGGTCAGCAGGTTACCTGCTGACGTGGCGCACACGTGACCTGACACGACGCACACGTGGTGAGCCATATCAGTTTTTTATTTTTCCTTTTCCTTTTTCATTTTCCTTTTCTTTTTTTCTTTTCCCCCTTTATTTCTTTCTCTTCACCCGCCAACCCTACGACCCTTCTTCCGGGAGAGACATGCCGGCATGAACAGTAGTCGTCAAAAATGGAGGGTGCTCGGATAATTAAACTAAAAATATGAGGATGTGCGCATGTTCATGGAGACCTCCTTTACATGTTTTAAATGAGATGTCAAAAAATGAGAAATTTCGACCAACTGTAAACCGGCCCCCAAATCTTGTCTCCAGCTTCTCAAAATCGATATGGAGCGTCATTTCTTGCCAACGAACTCCAATCTAGTCTCATAAATGAATAAAAATTGCCCACATTTGAGTTATGAGCAATAATCAATTTTCGCATAAATAGTGTTTCTTGCTCGGGTCGTTAAAGGTGAAAGAAAGAAAGGGGAATGGGAGAAAGAAATAAAGAAAGTAAGATGGAAATTGAGGTTTTTTGGTAAGGGAGATGAGGGGGCTGGAGGTTTTTTTTGCAGGGGCTGGAGGAAGAAGACGGGGCTGGGTCTTGCGGAAGGGGAATGGGGAAAGAGAAAAGAAAAGGAAGGAAAGAAAAAGAAAAAGGAAAAAGCTGATGTGGCCCGCCCCGTATGCACCATGGCAGGCCACGTGTGCACCACGTCAACAGGTAACCTGCTGACCGGCGGGTTACCTGCTAAAAGTCGATTTTGACAAAAATTCCAAAGTAGGAGGACTTAATTGATGAAACTTAATGTAGAGGTGCACAATTGACTTTCAGTACAAAGTACGAGGGCCAATTTGACACTTTTCTCAATTATTTTCGTTTAATAAGTTACTCCATTTAATAATAAATTTAATATATTTATATTCACAATCGATATGTATTTTAATGTAAATATATACTTTTCAATCACCCGTTCAGCTATTTTACCAAACGTGTCTACTTCATTCAATTAGTATTTTAGATCCAACACTTAATAATTCAGTTCCAGACAATAACTTTTTCTTCAGACAATAGCTAGGGATGGCAACGGGGCGGATCGGGACGGTTTTACCTATAATTGTACCCGCCCCGTTGGGTAATTCCCCCGCCCCGTAACCGCCCCATTACCCAACGGGTAATTTTTACCCAAATCATTATCGCCCTAACGGGTAACGGGTACAACCGCAGGTGATCGCTTTATCAAATGAATCATTGATATTTTAATATAAAAATTATATTTTAAAAGGCGAAAAATAATTTAAAATTTTACTCTATACTCATACGTCAATTTAAAGTTTCGTATATCTACAAGACGAGAAAGAAGGTAATCTAGATTAATTTGAACCAAAAGATACTTAATATGGAAAACAATTAATCACGAAAAAACTGATAATAATCAAACAAGACTATTAAAATCTATTATGAACTTTCATTTAGCACACTATAGTCAGTACATTTATTATCTATATATACACAATGAAAATAGAAAAATATCATCTTTTACTAGTTGTGGTACAAATAATATATAAAAATGTAATAAAAATATAGCAAAAAAATTAACGGGGCGGGTATAAGGCGGGTAATGGGGCAGGCATGTAAAAAATCGTAACCGTCCTGTTACCCGTAAAAACAAAACGGGTATTCCCCGCACCGTACCTGTTACCCGGTCAATGCGGTTTTCCCCGTTTTGACCTGGCCACCGGAGCGATTCAATGCTGATATCCGTCAGATCAATCACAATTGTCATCCCTAACAATAGCTCTTAATTTAGACAATAGTCTCCCACCCAAACATAGTCTTAGTCCTATTTATGACTATTACGGAGTACTCCCTCCGTCCCCAATTAAATGTCCCATTTTATCATATTGGGATGTCCATATTTAAATGTCCCATACCTCATTTGGTAAAGTTTGTGTGGCTCAAAATCATTCTTACTTTATTCTTACTTTATTCCTACTTTATCAATTAATATCAACCACACAAACCCACTTTTCTTAAAACTCGTGCCACCTTCTTCCGGGGCTTTTAAAAAGGGACGGAGGGAGTATCTCTTAATTTATTCGTATCACACCCAATCAAGGAGTAGAACTCTTACAAGTAATCTGGTTATTTAAGCACGGCGCTGAGGCAAATACACAGTGACTTCAATTCTTGCATCAACCGTACCCCTTCTTTCTCTTTTTTTTTTTCCCTTCTTCCTCATCAATATGGGACGACAGGCTTTGACTTCTAAAGGCAACATTACATTCCTATTCTCACTCTTACTTTCACTTCTGTTGAGCCTTCAGTATTGCAGCTCGACGACGGACACCATTACCGTCAATCGACCTCTTAAAGATGGGGACTTATTAATCTCTAAAGCAAAATCTTACGCTCTCGGTTTCTTCACCCCCGGCAACTCCACCGACAGACGGTACGTCGGGATTTGGTACCGGCAAATCCCCGATCAAATGGTGGTTTGGGTCGCTAACAGAAACAGCCCTGTCAACGGCACCTCCGGCGTCCTCTTCATCGACGTCACCGGAAATCTCGTCATCCAAGACTCGAGAACCAACATCTCAGTCTGGAACACCAGTCTTGATTTTCCGGCGACCACCGCGCCGTCTAAGGCGGCCCACTCTGCCCGGATCCAAGAAAGGAATCTGGTCCTGTATCGCGGCGACCAGACGGCGGCATGGCAGAGCTTCGATTATCCTACGAACACATTACTTGCCCACATGAGATTAGGAATGGACACCAAACGCGGCTTGAATCTCTCCATCACGTCATGGAAATCAGCCGATGATCCGGCCGTCGGCGACTACGCGCTCAGCGTACAGATGAAGGGGAAACCGCAGGCGTTTCTGTTTAAAGATTCGACCCGAGCGTGGAGGCTCGGGTCGTGGAACGGAATCCGGTGGAGCGGCTTGCCGGAGATGACTCCAGACGCCACGCCGTACGTCTTCACGGAAAACGACGATCAGGCAACAGAGGAGTATTCGATCAAGGACCCGAATATGTACACGATCGTGATGTTGAACGAAACAGGGACGCTGAATAAGATCATATGGCAGGGAGAAGACGGCGACGAGACCAAGAAATGGGTCGGGAACTGGTTCCACCCGTACATCGCCGACTGCGATGTGTACGGTCATTGCGGCGCGTTTGGGATATGCAATCCGTACGGTGAGCAATCCGGGTTTTTCTGTCGGTGCGTTCCCGGTTTTGAACCGAAGGTGGCCCTCGAATGGAACCGGAGCGACGGGAGCCATGGCTGCCGGAGACCGGCCGGCCGGGACCTACTCTGCCGTCACGGTGAGGGTTTTTTGAAGCTGGAGAACGCCAAGATTCCAGATACGGAAATGGCGCAGGTGAATAAAAGCATTGGGTTGGATGAGTGCGAGAATCTGTGCCTGAGGAACTGTTCGTGCAGCGGATATGCTCAAGCTAACATTAGGGATGGGACGGGATGTATCACTTGGTACGGTGAGTTAGTTGACATGAGGGAGTTCACCAATGGAGGCCAAGACCTGTATATTCGTGTCGCCGCACCCTATGCAGGTAGCCAAGGTATTGTAGGTACTAATTATTTACCATTTGAGTTCAAACTTCAAATATTATTGATTGATAAAAAAAAAGGTGAATCTCCCACCCATAAGCCTACACATCCTGAGCAGACAGAATGATGAAAGAGTAAGGCATGGTGACTCAGTTAGCAAAGTGATAGTTGACCATACACCCGTGCGCATCAGAGGTCCAGTCTTATTTCAGCTTCTGTAACATCCACCCGATCACTACGGGGATTCAAACTTGGTCCATTGATCCAAGTTTAATTTCCTGTCACTCGACCAACTGAGCTACCCGTGCGGGTTCAACTATTATTGATTATTGGGAAAACTGTCAAATAGGTCCTCGAACTTTCATAAAAAGGTCAATTAAGTCCTTCTATAGGAGGTTCTGTCCGGCCGTCGCGATTTGGGACAGTTCCCGGTGGAATTTTTTGATAAATTTTTTTGAGCATCTTATTCACCAAGTCTAGTTTATTCATACCAAATTATAGCTAAAAATTCAATCGGGAACACATTCAAATTAATTCTTGAAGATAATTGCGCATTTTTGCGTTCTCGAATTAATTTGAATGCGCTCCCGATTAAATTTTTAGTTGAAATTTGGTATGATTAAACTATGCTTGATGAATAAGATGCTCAAAAAAATTCATCAAAAAATTCCACCGGGAACCGCCCCAAATCGCGACGACCGGACAAAGTCTCCTATAGAAGGACTTAATTGACTTTTTTATGAAAGTTCGATGACCTATTTGACAGTTTTCCCTTGATTATTCCTCCTTGTAGTCAATGTACTACGTATTTTTTTAGGTAGAAAATATGAAAACAATTTTGTTACCCCACACCTATTTGCATTCTAAAAAGTCTAGAATAAATTTTTTGCACTTGATAGGAACATGATGGTACTTTAGCACTTTTTAAAAATTAGTGGTATATATACCCTTCCACATAAACTTCTAGAATTTATTTATTCCAAAAAATAGAACATGAATACATTTCTTTTCACATCCATGCTAGAGAGGTATATTTGCACATTTTCCCTTCAAAAGACAAATTCAACATATTTCAAATTGGACAAAAATGAGACCAAATTAAAAGTAAAGGATTAAACACCCCTCGAGAACAAATCCCAACCCTCTGCCATCGGTGTGCCTCCACACATACCCATTTGCTTGCCGCCGTGCCCCCCTACGTCGTTGGAAAGCCGTACTCGCGGTCACCATATTCTATCTCCCTGGTTCGTTGCTCCACTCCGTCTTCCTCTTATTCTACTTCTTCTTCCCGTCTGTTTTGCCAAGAAGCAGCTATGGTGTCAAATCAGGGTGCATACAACGAGTGGCTAGGGTTCAAGTTGTGGGGCGAGTGCGGAAGGCCGCTAGGGTTCAAGCTATGGGGCGAGTCCGGCGTGAGGCTAGGGTTTGTCAATCTTTTTAATCTTTTATGATCTTTGATATACATAGTATAAAATTTAAAAATTGAATCCGGTTAAAATAGATATTTAGAAAAAATGGATGTTTTTTTCAATAAAATTTATACGCAATATTAATGTCAATGGTTAAATCGTAAAAACTTATTGAAGATGATAATTTTTTTGTAAAAAAATGGATCATGAATAAAAAAAGTTACTGCGTATAACAATTTTAAGAAAAAAAAGTTAATATGACAAATGGTAAGCATTGACTGATTGAAGGGGTGGAAAAAATTGCGCCAAACTATATTATGTATAAAAATGCAGTTTTTTCGTTAATTTATTTAATTGACTCATCGGTTAATTTTAAGTTGAAATTTTATGGACATAATCTACATTTCATGGACTCACAAAATTTCATAAAAATATCCACTTGAAAGCACCTCAAATTAAATTGAGGTGGCCAGACGGTGAACCGGTCAAGAAATTCTTGACCGGATTTTTTTTAATTGTGACCGAAATATATGTGTTGTAATCACTTTGAATAAAATGTCACATTTTTGTTTGAGGATCTTGATTCTAATCAAATAGTGGTTGCTATTCCCTTCTAAATATTTTAAGAAAAATTTAACATGTGTATGTTACTTATTCCAGCGACATACATTGATCGTTGTGAGAGAGTTGAAGTTTGAGATAATTTAATCCCATTCCCATTTTATTTTATGAGAGCTATATACTTGTATACCGATTACCGAGTATATGATTTAGTTATTCTCCATTATATTTGTCCTCTAAAAAGTAAAAACGGGTTAACGGGTTATATATATAGAGAGAGAGTCCCGTTCGAGAGGAAGGCCTGACCGGAAGCCCCGTGCGGCCTTCCTCTTTTGGGGACCTTTCCGGTGGAATTTTTTGATAAATTTTTTTGAGCATGTTCCTCATCAAGTCTAGTTTATCCATACCAAATTTCAGCTCAAAATTTGACCGGGAAGGCAGTCAAATAATTTCTTGAAACATACTGCACTTTATATATGCGCAGAATGCCCATATATATATATATATACATATATATATGGTTATATACTCTGATTCGTATTTAACCATAATACTTCAATCACTTTATTTTCTTATATGTTTTCAGATCAATATGGAAAGAAAGCTAAAGGGCATCGCTGGGAAAAGGTCATAATCATTGTGGTTGTGCCTCTTATTGGTGCATTCATCATTGTTCTCTTTTGTTTGACATTGATAAGGATAAAAGGTAAAGAGTATATGTTTATAAAAATTCTTGAAAACTTTGCACAGAAATATGCATGGAAATATTACTGGTAAATGAACGTGTCCTCAAATGTTTATTAAATGAAGCAGGCAAGAAACCACTGAACTGTAAAGGCATAAAGTTTTGTGAAAAAGGGTCTGCAATGGGGAAGTTTGGGGATGAAACCTCAGATGTGTTAGCATTTGAGCTCAACACTATTGAAGCTGCCACTAATACCTTTGCTGCTGAAAACAAAATTGGAGAAGGTGGATTTGGTTTTGTTTATAAGGTAATAACTCATTGATTATTAGCTTTGATAATTAATACAACAACATTATCCCAGTGCCGCAAAGGGGGCGGATGCACGCAGGCCGCAACCTTACCCTTGCACTACAGTACAGAGAGTTTTTTTCCGGATGACCCGTGATAAAAATCATTTTTAAAATTGCATGAACTGATTATTGCTTTAGAACCAGGAAGCGCAAACAGTTTAGTGATGAGCAATTTTGCTTTATTTCATCATACTCTAGATATTTCTGGGTAAAAACAAAATATAATAACTCTTGAATTTATAGGTCTACTTTAATTTGTGATGTTTTAGTTAAGAAGAACCTAGGTCTGAAGATGTTACCTTATTAGCATAAGTTTGTTTTTAACTACTCAGCTGAAGCAATTCTTGAGCTTTTGATTAGCTTTAATTTAAATGGGTTTGTAGGGCACGCTAGCAAATGGAGAACTAGCCTAATTGCAGTCAAACGGCTCACTAAAACTTCAAGTCAGGGAGTAGAAGAATTCAAGAATGAAGTTATACTCATTGCAAGACTACAACATAGAAATCTTGTGAAACTTTTAGGATATTGCATTCAACAAGGAGAAAAGATGTTGGTGTATGAGTACTTGCCTCATAAAGGTCTCGACAATTTCATTTTCGGTAGGTAGATATGTCTCTATTCATTCATTATTAATTAAATGATTCTATAATTATTCCAGGAGCAATAGTTTGACCTTTCATATCTTTGCCAATTGCCATGGCTGCTATCTCAGAAAAAACTTTGCCATGACTACTAACTTAATCGATTTCATTAAACTTTGTTAACTTTAATGTACTTACTTTCGGTTTAATATAGGGGAGCATTCTAATTAAAACATATTTTGAAATGAGAACCCATTAATGAATAAGGACTTTTAATGTCAACTTTTCAAATTTCAAATCAATGGCAAGACTCAACAATGTATCAATTTTTATTTATTTATTTTTTTACTCCAGGGGGCCTGGGGGAGGGGGGCTGGGGGACCTGGAGTAATCAGGGCTGAAACTTAATCCATTGAGTTTCAAACCCTTATGTGCCTAGCGGGTTTCGAACTCAAGATCTCCCACTATGCATGATAACCTCACAACCGGCTGGGCTGGAAGGCTTGGTTATCAACAATGTATCATATTTATAATTATGTTACACTAACAAAACATACCCTTTTTTAATTTTGACTAATTGCAAAAAAAGGACATCATGTGTATATTAACTAATTAAAGGTTGTGATTAAAAGTTCTTAATAACTTCTCATTTCTCATAATACGTTTTCATATGCGTGTGTGTGTGAAAGAAGTTTTAGTTTACTTTATAACTAGTGAATGTGAATTTATTTTGAAAAAAGTAATATTATTAATTGAAAAAAATTACTTAATGCTCATGTAGGTGATATGCATTGCATACATTTGGATTGGAGAAAGCGCTTCGAAATTATTTCAGGAGTTGCACAAGGATTATTATATCTTCATCATGATTCTAGATTGAGAATCATTCATAGAGACTTAAAAGCTAGCAATGTCTTGTTAGATGCATCTATGCATCCAAAAATATCAGATTTCGGAATGGCTAGAATTTTTGAAGAGGAACAAGTTGAAGCCAATACAAATAGGGTTGTGGGTGCATAGTAAGTGTTCCCCATTTATTTGTGTATTTGTATCTTAAATGATCTTCCCTAACTTCTTTTTTACCAATTCATTGCAGTGGATATATGGCACCAGAATATGCAATGGCTGGGCAGTTCTCTATAAAGTCTGATGTATTTAGTTTTGGTGTTCTATTGTTGGAGATTGTGAGTGGAAAGAAAAACAAATATAAGTTCAAAGAGAATTCTGTCAACTTAATAGGAGATGTAAGTGCATACCACCCTATACAATCCAAAGTTATTAAAGTACACCTACCATTTTTTAAATACATGATTTGACTATAATATGCATCACAAATAATTGTTAATGTGTACAATTACAGTTTTGTTTGTGACAAACAAGTGTAATGAACTCTATAGAATCCAATGTTATTAACATCCACCTACCATTTTTTTCATTGCAATCAATGTTGACTGATTATCTCAGGTATGGGATTTTTGGAATGAAGATAGAGCTTTGGATGTTGTCGACCCACGGTTAGATAGGCTATTAAATGATGATAGGGAAGTTTTGAGGTGCATCCATGTTGGATTGTTATGTGTCCAGCCATATCCAGATGATAGACCAAACATGTCAGATGTGATTTTCATGCTAAGTAATGAAACCGAACTCTGTCCTCCTAATAAGTCAGGATTTGATTTTCAACCAACTGAAACGTTTGACTTGAAATCGTCTCCCATTCATGGAGAAAATCAATCTACTGGTACTATGTCAGTTACTGCAATGGAAGGAAGATAAGCATAATACATATGTATACATACATATGTGTGTGCAGTGTGTGTGAGAGAGTTTGTGTGTATGCATGCGCGTGTGCGGATGTGTTTATACAATGGCAACTAAGGTAACTCACAATACAAAGACCTTATGGATGAATGCAAGGCCATGAATATAATGGCAAGCGTATAGTTGATCCCAAAATTATGCTACTACATAGATGAACTGATAGCTTATTTAGTGTTTTTGCGTGATGTATTTTGTCTATTAATAGCATTTTTTTAACTTTCGTGTAATTTCTAGGGAGCTATATTTTCTTATTTGGAGTATATCCCCTATTTTATGGATAAATATATAATACCAATTTTATAAAATGTATGTATGTATATAACTTAATGTGATGCCAATGCTAAATGGAATTCTAGACAAAGTTGCTCTTTTGTAGGGCAATATAACTTCATGCTAGGGTTTAATAGGTCCTTTTTCTTACACACACACACATGACTTGTTTAAGTCACATTGTCAACTACAAAAGTATTGAACCCTTTAGCATGAACTATTAAGTCACCCGTCAGGTCCGGGTTGACCCGTAACCTTGTGTTTTGAACAGTTCAACTTTCATTCCCAGGGCGAAGCCAGGGCACTGTGCCGGATTGGACCGGTACAAAAAATATTTTTGTAAAAAAATTTATACGGAATTTTTTACAATAAAAATAAAGAAATTTTTAAAATTTGGGTTGGACCGGGGCCAAGGTTTGCCCCCTAGCTACGCCCGTGTTCATTCCGATTTTTTCAGCATTGATAAAAAGGAAAAAAAATTGCACACACACACACATATATATATATACACATTTTTTTTGTAAATATATGCTTCTTGCACAGATCATTTCCTTGTCAAGAGTTGGAAAAAATGGGTGTTTAATATTTGCTCGGAAGTATCCATGCCAATCAAATTTAAAATTCAATTTTTTTACCTTAGAGTCTTAGATTGTGTCATGTCAAAATACTCGAACCTAGTGATAGATAAGTTTGGCATGGATGTGTACTTGCAAACATTGTAGAACGTGGAGCGCCATTTGGCTCAAATTTATTTGTGCCAAAGTCTGAGACAAAGGGTTTGGCGTGCACAAAAACCATGTCAAACCATTTGGCATCCCTATAAATCAATAGAATGTGGATCTGTGACAACAACGTTAGCCTCAGATTTTAAAGAAGGGACTTGTAGGATCCGTTCTTATACCCAAGTTTTAGTTTTTGCAATATCGAGAACTACGGATTCTAACAAATATAATGTAGGTTTTCAACTTTTGAACTTTTGAAGGAAAAAAAAACTAAGATTATATTTCCTTATTCTAATCTCATGTCACCGAATGAACAATATGCAAATTGCAATCTAGGAAAGAACACATTAATAAATATATGTATTCTCAAATCATTTTAGAATTAAGAATAAGACATACAACTAAACACTTTTGCAAAACCGTTCTTATGCATCAGACATAGTGTTATCGTTATATTATGAGTGTTATATAAGATGGTAATGTTGGGGTATGGAAATTAAAATATGTGGGGTTAAATTGGAGTTTTATATGAGTAGTTATTGGACTCTCAAAAGGTATGATTTCGCTTTGGTATAAAATTATTTAGAGGCTATTAGGAACCTGTTATTCTATTCGTTACCATCATAGGTCCACTCAATATCCCTGGGATTCTGCTACAGGTTAGGCCACACGGTAGTCGGGGACCACAATTTTCCCAAGATCACCTCGAAATGATCAACTTATTATGTGGTCACTGCCAAATTAACTCGATCAACGCCTTGTCAACCCGGTCAACATTTCTAAGCAACAACCTATAATAAATTGTCACAGCTTTTCAAACATTGAGAAGCAACATGATCACAGCTTCCAAACACGCATCAACCTTTAAAAACAACACCTTCTAAACAACAACCTATAATAAATTGTCAAATTTTCACCAACAAAAATTGAAACTATTAATAAAACAAGCATAATTCCCAACTCCCAAGTTCCTCAATCCAGCATATTTAGTTCCATGTCATCATCATCGTCAGTATCATCAAGTCAGTATTATCCACCTGACTACCCACTTTAAAAGTAGACAATTCCAGTCCCATAATAGTCTCTTCTTCCCAAATGTCTGTGCATTGATCATCTAAAAAAATTAGAAGAGATGAAAGCTTTTGGCATCATCTATGTTTACTAATACAGTATTTTCCCAAGTAAGATACATGAATCTAAACTACTAACCTTCATTTTGGTTGTTTGGTGATCGTCCATTATTAACTATTAAGCATGGCCTCAACCTCATCACAATCTAGCTCTCGGGGAGGTTCATTTTGTACTATCCAAAACTCCTCTTGATTTATACATTCATAATGATATATGGGATCGTAATCTCTTTTTTGTTGTACAGCCTATATATATACAGTATCATCAAAATAAATTTCTTTTCTATGTCAATAATGAATGTGAAGAAACGAGCATATAAACAAAATCAATAACACACAAAATCACTACATTTACTAACCAGATTTTCGAACGAAGGTGATAATGCACATATGTAAACAAGATAATTTGCCCTTTGATGTTCCAATCTATTCCTCTTATTGATGTCAATCCTTCAAAAGGAGCCCAATTTCACTCACAATCAAAAGAGAAGAAGTTTGACTGAGAATGTGAATAGCCAAGTGTTGCAAAGTTCGTTGGAGTATTGTAGCCAAATAATTTCCACCATTGGTCTAAATGAGAATTACAGATAAAAAAAATTAAAAACCATAAATAGTCAATGTAAGTTAAGAATGTAGCAATACTTCATATACTTTAGAGAAATATTAATTAACTTACCTGGGATGCACTAAGTTTATGGACAGAAGTCAAAGCACACTCTCTACCGAAAGGCACCCCACGCTCTTGAAAAAAGTCAATTCTTGAAGAACAACACGTGGTTCTCCAATGATTGATTTGTGCTCAATCATCTCTGGAACTCCAGCCATAATTTCTCTTTTATCTAAGATCTTGTTTGCACTATCAAATTAAAATGATGGATTCCATCAATAACCCACACAATAAATATCTCTCCGTAGGAGGGTGTTTCAACGCTTCTTAATTATATCAATATAAGGTTTGCACAACCTCTTTTTACTTGCAAATTTTGTTTGATGCCCCAACGTGCCCTTAGAATGACTCGTAAACCTCTGTTTTTTTCATCCGAACATGTTGAATTTTACACTATTCACATGTTCTACTTTGACTACATTTTACGCTATTATTTTATGAGAAATATTTTTTAAAAAAAAATGTTGTTCAATTCATCTCATTACAAATATTCAAAACTTGATTTTTAAATTTTTTTACTAATAGAGATTAAGATATAATTACGGTCAAAGACGTGCGTTGTCAAGTGTGAAATGTTGACCGTTGCGACTAAAAAAATGGATGAAGTATAACCTAAAGATGAAGTCTCATGAGAATCACAAAGGCACAATAAATGCAATAAATTAAAGGACTCACTACCTCAGAACCTATCATTTGGGGCTACGACTTTAGACTTTGTAGTTGCAATTGTCTTAGAACCACGTCATTGGTTTTAGTCAATGCTTGTAAACACTAAACATTACTTGCATGCATCGGGAGTATAAAAATATTGTTGAGAGGGGCCAAAAAGCCTCCTCTGAATATATGCTCCATACATAGCTTTCTTATCGTTTGTGCACACAAATAATTTGTTTAGAAAACGTGAACAGCGTTCACAGAAGGCATGGGGAGACTTGGGAAATGGTCTCAATTTTCTTTTGTGTACGAGCTCGTGCAGTGGTGCTTGATTGAATTTTACTACAATAATTACACCTAATTCTCAGGCAATGTATGTCTCTGACTCTATGTTGATTTATTTTTCCTGCATTAATTACACCTAATTTTGAAGCAATGCATGTCTATGACTCTATGTAGATTGTAGACATATCAACTCCGATATTTATTAATTTCGTATTATTCAAACAATTTGACCGGTGTTTTCTGAAGAAATCGGTTTGCGCACAGACAAAAAAATTGTCTATGCCACAGATAATTTTTTTGTCTGTGCGAAAAATGATTCTTTCATAAAACGCCGGTCAAATTGTTTGTACACATACAATTTGACTAGCGTATAAAATGACGTGTACACTTCGTCGTGTACAAATAGCGTTTTCGGTATTCAAACTCTTTTCTCTCGTTAAATTGTCTTACTTTTCGATTTTAATTTATTCTACTAAAATTGTCTTGTACTAAAATTGAATTTTGTAATGGTTTCGGATCATTTTTATTTTATCAGTTTAATACTAATTATACAAATTCACTTTTGTTAATAATCACATTATTTTTGTCAAATACGCAAGAAGGTAGTTCAATATAAATTTTGGGAGAAAACAACTCTGAAAAACTATGACATAATTTCGACTTTACTACTAACTCCATCTCACTCTTTGTCAAGTTGATTTTGGGTGTGAAATTAGAATAGTAAAACATGTGTGATTGAAGTATGCGTACAGGAAAGAAAAGAACAAAACCACCAATTAATTGTTTTAAGAGGAAAGTTAACATCCAGTGTAATGAATGGAGTAATACGGATACCAGGGTGTAGCTCACCTGGCAGAAAAAGAGTGTGACAAGAGAGATGTTTCGAGTTAATTCCAAATAATGACTTGGAATATTTTGTATTTATTGTATATTTTGTGTTTATTGTATATTATCTGTATTAGCTGGAGTATGTACAGGTGTAATATTTAATGAACCAGGACAGGAAAGGTGGAGGGGTCTCCAAATTGGGTGGAGGAGAAAGAATTTTGATGTTAGTTGATTGGCCTGATATTTTTGTGTACCAACTTATATCCTGATAAGTGTTTGATTAATTATGGGTCCAAGACACGGGTGTTATTTAAGACGGAGTAATTACTCAATATGAATCCGTATCCGTCACTAACCTGTCAACTTATTATAAACTTGGCCACTAGCCTCTCGTGGCTACGACTCCCAACTCCTTACGAGGTCCACTGGCTTTCAATTCCCATGATAAATGTTTTTCTAACAAATTTAATCTAAACAAAAAGCTAATTACAAATCTTAAACAAACCAACTACAATCTGTATTATCAAAACCAGATTAAAAGACAATCAGAACAAGAGATCATTTCAATCCCAATTCGGAGGGTCAACCCAATCAATGGTTGACTAGTCCGATTAACAATAACTAAAAATAAAATAAAAGCACGGAGTAATTATGTATAATCATATACAGAATAATATTTATTACTCCATATATACTGTGTGTGGGTTAATGTGTGGTTTACCAAATCTCACACATATATAAAGATGGTTAGATGCTATAAAGATGCTATACAATAAACACAAA